ACAATATGAATTAGTGAACATGACTATTCTGTCTAGTTAGAACAAAACAAGTATGAATCATTTTCTTTGACAGCGAAGTCTGTAAATTTACTTTTTCAAAGTTCAAATAAAAGATGAATCTGAAATCTAGTAAAATAGATCTTTTCAAAAGTTGTTCTGTTTTAAATCGTTGTCACTGGTAATAGCATTATATCTTCAAATAAAATCTATATGAAAGAACTACAAGTGATATTCGAAACAAATTTTGTCTAAGTTTAATATTGCCTTAGCTTCAATTTTGTCTCGGACATATGTATACTTCTACTAGTTCGTAATGGTATTGAACTATTAAACAGTAAATACCAAATAAAACATATTGATGTATACAAATGTTGAGTAGTGTCACATCCAAAATTTTGGAGATGCGCCTATATCTCTCGCAGTAAATGCCGCATCTCCCGCGCTAGACGTGGATGCATCTCCAAAATTTTGGATATGTGACACTGTTGACTTGTCTAAGTTTAGAATTCCATACTGCACAACTAACCGATGCTGTATGTGTTTCAGTTAAACTACCATCTTTCTAGATGTATCTTGTCCTAATTTCATAATACATAAATAATCATTGCATGCTAAAGCTAAACTATCGGGTAAACTTTTATCAGCATTATTAGTTGATTTATTTAGATATAAATCCATTGGAAATAGACCAAAATTTGGTGTTTTACCACCTAATGTACTAGGAAATCGTATCGGAATTGTTTGAAGACAAAAAAATTCTTATAAATCCCAAACTTTAATAACCTTTACAATGATTTAAAATCTTACAAAAACAAGAATTTTTAAAGAAAAAAACCATACAACATCTTTGCTAAATGTATAACATTATACTAAACGTTCATTAATTTTAATATGAATTACTGCTGCATGATGTTCTTCTAAAATGACTATATTTTTGTGTTACACATGGATTTCAAATACGTGCCAGATAATCAGCACCAGCAGTTATTAAAACATTTAATACTTTATTATAATCAAAACATTCACATCCCTATAAGACTGATTTTTTCATGTAACAATATTTTATATTTATTTACTTAATGTAATCGAAAAATCTAATGTTTATTTAATTTGTTGATACTAGTAATAACTAAAGAATTTCGATGATCTCCACTTAATGCAATAATTGAATTATAATGTGGTACATATAATATCTTCGGAAGATATTCTTGATGAATAGCACCCATGCTATGATATTTTACAAATTTCTCATGTTCTTTTAATTCCTGTATGTATAAATAGAAGAATAGCAGAAAACAGTTTATAGAAAATTTCTATATCCTAACATCCCAAACAAATACGTTGAATAGAATTCGCTGGTGATTTATCAGATTTCGTTAGATCTGATTTCCGTCGAACTGGATCAAATGGAGAACTAATTGAATTTAAAAAAAATAATATATGAATAAAAGTGCAATCATCACCAAATATTAAAGCTGATTGACTATTTTCACTCTAAAAAATACCAATTTTGTTTGTTGTGTCTCTTAACAAAAAAAAAATTAATTATTTTGTTTTACCGTAGTATTTGGATAATATTCAAGACAAGTAGGAACATTTTTAATACCTTAAAAAAATTTAAAATTTTCAATTCTTTGTTGTTCTATTAGACTTACCAAATAACATGAATTCTTCAAGAAATGTTTCACTTGAAATAGTCAAAAAATGGTAAATCTGAACTAGTGGATGCGAGTACCAATTTATGTGTATCAGGCATATAAATAGCATCAGTTACCCACATTCCAACTCGTCGACGATTTTGTCCAATTCCACTTACATTACTACTTGTACCATCATTAAGTTCATCAGCAGCTGAATATGTTGTTTTTTCTAGATGAAGATTTCGTGTCCATAAGTCTAAATAACCTTCTTTACTGATATTAATAAATTTAGTTCGATTTTCTAAACGAAGAATTTTTCCTATCAATTCTTGCTAGAACAAAGAAAAGAAAATGAATTTTTTTCAAAAATAATATATATAATAGAAACTTTATTATGAGGTACATATCAAATTTTTGGTTCATTATTATAAGATAATGTACAAAGAGTATTTACATAATCTTCTTCTTGATAAAATTGAAGAATATGTCTACAAAAATCAATCCTGTTTCGTTTTGAATTGAGCTAGATGAGAGAAAAAACATTTATTTATTTCATAATAATTGTTTATATATATTTGATCAAATAATTTCTCCAATTATTTTTCCATATTGAATTGGATCTAATATAGATTGAAATGATGCAATAAATTCTTCTTTAATTAATAAATCTATCAATTAATAAAATCTATTATATAAATATTAAGAAAAATATTTTCTTGTCGGTTATTTTATCATTTGCTCTAGTAGTATTTTCAATATTATCAATTGTTATACGATTAAATCGTTCACGAAGAAGACGAAAATCTTCAACACGTTATTTTTTCTCAACAGTCAGTGGATCATTACTAAATATAACCTATATATTTAACATTAAGATTTTTATTTAACTTATACTTATTCTTCTTAATAACATCCGTCGAAAAAGTAGAAGTAAAGAACTGTTGTTCCTTCTATTATTACTTATCAAATTACTCTACTTCTATTCTTCATATATTTGATAGAGAACAACAGAAGAAGAAAAAACGAATGGCAGTAAAGCATATAAATTTGAGAAGATACAAATTCGTAAATATACTCGACAGCATAGATATATATTGTCTGTCACTTTGAAGAAGCAGTTGATCATTAGCGAGTGCAGTTATTCCATCATTTACGTTTTGAATTTAAGCTTGCATTTGTATCCGTTATACATTAATTTTTTTTATTCTTTTCTTGTTCGTTTTGTTGTCGAAAAGATTATTGTTATTCTTAGCTAAATACTGACAACAACATTATTATCGATAAAATTGTTGACGACATCAAGCAAAACAAGTTTCTTTTTATTGCTTCTTCCTTTTAAGTTTTTTTTCATGCTTTATAGTGATTTATCTATGGCATATTGTTTTTTTTGTGCTCGTTTCTGTGGTTGTCATCTTGTTAAACATCAATCGTCATTTACGTTAGAAAAATCTGATCATATGAATTGTATAAATAAAACAGACGTATGCCATTTTCCACTCGTCGTCCAAACATACATTGAATAACGAACAATATTAATACTTTCTCTTTTCTCTTGCTGAGATCAATCCATAAAGTATAAAGGTGAATAATTATAAAAACAATGCTTGTCAAACAAGACAAGCGAATGTATATTTTTTTATCCAGATCGATATATATATATATATGGGTCAATATAAATGAATAAGATACATGAATAAAATGATGGCTAGCACGTTTGAATTGTTACCTGCCGATGTTCTTTTCGAAATATTTGATTATTTGTCTCCTGTTGATGTTCTTCAATCATTTTTATCATTGAATAAGCATTTTTCAAGAATCGTTATGTATGAATATTTGTGGCATATTCATATTGGTAATTCAACAATGTCATTATCGATGTTCAACGATCATTGTCAAAATGTTTTGAAATTGGTAGGAACTCGACTTGTCTCATTACGTGTAACATTAACCAATGCTATTGGTGGATGGTCACTTGTTTCATCATCTCTAAAATATCATCAAACAACATTGCTTCAACGCCTTCATCTAATCAATATTACACCACATGAGTTTGATAATTTACTACGTAATCCTTTAATAAACGGATTACACACTTTATTAGTTGATTTGACATCATCTAGTCCATTTCATTATCTTGATGGTGAAGCAGTTTATTTAACTAAGGTAGGAAAAGAATTATCCCTTGAAAACATTAGGAAATTTTAGATTTATTTTGTATATTTATAAAAGGTGTGTTCTAAATTGCCTCTTCTAACAAATTGTCGACTTCCAATTAATGTTTATCATAAAGGTAGATATGATGTAGACAAATATTCATCACTATCAATAATGAGTTTACCAAGTTTATTAAATACAACTCATCTTCGTAGATTGACTATTGGTATGAACACGTCACACTTTCTCAAACGTTTAATATCTTATATACCGTTTATTGAAAATCTTTCTGTTGGTGTAAAAGATCTAGAAATGAATCAGAAGAAGAGTTTTGATATAAACTTGTAAGTAATATTCTATCATTTGTAAAAGTAATCGTCATATGAATATTTTTAGACTACCTGCCGCTGTCGATGCTCATCTTCTTTCGTATCTATCTCGTTTACATATAAATTCTAAAGATAGCATTAGTTTTCACCGAGCTATTGCGCTTTTATCGTCTGTGTTTGGTCAACTTCGTCATCTATCATTGAAATTAGAAAGTGATGTAGTAATCTCTAGTCCATTGACTATATCAGGTGATATTATTCAAGAGTTATGTATTGATCGTCTCAATCAAGGCGCAATCTATAATCTTTATCTAGATTTACATGTTAAACATGATGCGAAGGAAAAAATAATTTTTAATTCATTTTTGACAGCTCCATTTACTAATCGACCACGACCGAAAGTGTTTATTCAAGAACTTATCAGTGACGATGTCGATCATGATTGTCATTATTTTACGGTATTGACTTTACCATGTTATGAAAGAAAACTTCGAACATACATGTTTTCTAGAGCTCTAGAAAAGTATCTAGAAAATACCTTATTTGTATGAATGATGTTTACAAAGTTTTCCTTTTTTTCTATTTAGATATTATCCAATGCCAATTCATGCGGTAGATTTGTTTCCACGCGCTAATGAATTAGTTCTTCATGGTTATAGGAATGAAAATTGTGTTTTAGAGCTTGGTAATGTTACAAGTTCTATATCATCATTAGTTCCGTGGTCATTATTAAGAAAAATTTCAATTGATAATAGTGATGTTGTTACTACAGCTGAACTAGAATCAATATTACGGATCGCTTATAATGTGCATTCACTACATATATGGGAAAATACTGGAAATTTTCGCCAGGCAGTATTACGTAATATTAATAATCTTGGTACTCTGGTCAATAAACAAGTAAGGAGTTTATTTTAAGAGAAAAATTTCATTGATATTAGCTTGTCTGGAAATTGTGCTTTATCTGATATTTATATTTCTTTTTAAGAAAATTCTTTTTATTTAAATTCTTCAAATTTACTATTAGAACAGAAATATTATTATAAACGACTCAACTTATATAACAAACGATATATTACTTTTCATTTCTCTTCGAATAAATAAGATTTTCTATTAGTTAGGTACAAACATTGGAAATGTACGATGTGACATTGTCATGGAAAAGGTCTCTAGATTTTTGCAGATTATTGTCGAATCAATTACCTAATTTGAAAAGAGTTTTTTTTATTATACATGATTCGTATCTTGGACTGAGAGGGACATCATTGCCTATGGCTGATCGTAAAAATAAATCTACAAAACGTATACTTAAACTTATTTATTTCCTTGTTGTTCATTTGCAACAACTTGTTTCGCTTCGCATCAACTTTATTAATTTGACCGACTCTACAATATCTTGTTATCCACATCTAATCCAACAACGAGTACATCAATATCCTATTAGACGACCGTATCGATTACGATGTGATCGTGGAACGATTGAACTGTGGCTTTAAAATCACATTTATCATATATGAACATTTTTCTACTGGAAATTTTTTTTTTTGTATGTAAAAGAATAGCAATAAAACTATATAGAAACGTTCAATTTCTTTTTCTTACTTTAGTCAAATTTTAAAAATTCTAGTGAAAATCTGATTTTGAGCCAATGACAAAAGACCATCCAAAAGTTTTATCTTCAATTTCAATTCGAAGTATTTCTATAGGAAAAATCTAGTTGAATTTTAATCATAAAGAGAAAGTTTAGTAAAACATGTTTTTCGACTAGTCATATAGACTTCGGTAAGTTCTCTAGTGAGAAATATTCCTCAAATTAAAATATAAGAAATGGATAATATCTGTTTATATTTTACAAATCGGTTTTTCTATACAGAATATTACAACAATTATCTGTTATTATTCATCATTGTGACAAATTTAATGAAAATCTTATAGATTGTTAATAGATGTTTAACAAAAACAGTTACTGATGTGCAAGAATTATTAAATGGTACATATTTACGTTGTTCAAATTTTGAAGAAAATGATCTATCATTTGTCGATTTAATATTCTCTATTTAATAGTAAATATGATAGAAGAGGAACTTTTCGAGATTGAAAGAAATTTTCAAGTATGTTTTGAACTAATGAAGATTTTTATAAAAATAATAATTGTTTCCTCGACTATACGGAGGACCATATGAAATAAAATGCGTTTGTGTCTATGTATATATCAGAGCTGCCAGCCTGGCCTAGTTCCTGGCAGGCGCCTGGCAGGCCATCAGGCCGTCCACCGGGTCAGTCTGAATTTTTGAAATTTGTCCTGGCCTGATCAGGCCATCCCATGTTTGGCCTGGCCTGCCGTCCAGGCCAGGCCGAAGTTGCTGGCCTGGATGTAGTAAATTATTAATATGAATAAAAGAGACAAGACGACAACTATGGTTGATTAATTTTAACGCAGACAAAAATAGTGCTTTTCATCATATTAAAAACAGAGGGTATTCCTTTTTTATATTTTGTTTACCAAAAACAAAAACGAATAGTCTAATATAAATGTTACTATTTGTTGTTATCATCGTTTCTCTCTTTTCTACATTTCTCTATTATGTTTTCTTTTCACTGAGCGTTGTATATGTGAACATACATTATTCGTGATATTTTGGCTATCTTTTTTCGTTTATATGAAATAAGCCCTTCATGTGATGAAAAATATCTCTGATGATTGTCTTTTCTATTTCAGCTTGCTCTGGCATGTGAACGGCCGCTTGAGAAGAAGGAGGAAAGCGGAGGATTCTGGAATAACTTTTTTGGAGGATATTGTTCGAAAAAGGAGGAAAAAAGGAGGATATTATTTTTGTTTTAAAAAGGCGTTCTAACATAGCAAAAACGGCATGCTTGAGCAAAAACCAAGAGCTAATTAGAACTATAGATGACTTATACGTAGTTTCATATTAACGATCAAAAATAAAATAGTAGCATGTGACAGGAAAGTAGTTAATCTAATCAAACAGTCATGCTGATGTGAACTCGACTTCATACAGTTGTGAATAAATGCTGGTTTTTTAGTACGATTTCGTTTGTACAGATCTGGACATCAACAGAATTAAGTTTACTTAGTGATCCTGAGATTTTCTGTTACAAAATTTATATAAGTTTAACGATTCACAAAAAATGTTGGCTCTTGAACGGTGAAGATGTATCAAAAAATTATTTTTATTAACATATCATATATAT